TTGAACGCAATCCAATTTTGCCTGGGAATTTTTTTCCTTTTTTACAATAGAAATGACAAAGCAATTAAATTTTGAACATTTTACAAGTTCAAAATTTTATTTCGCATCATTGCAATATATTTTAAGAAATGAAAATACATTGAAATTTTGATTTTACTAAAAAATAAAAAAGAAATATTTTCGTGAATCATTATATATGTGTTAGATAATAAAAATATATTTGTTAAACTTAAGTTAAACGAGAGTAATGTAATTTCGAGATAAAAATCTCAACTAAGTTGGATAATATTTATAAAATTTGCGAAACATTCATTGTGAAAATATATTGCAAAGGGATCACAAAAATATTTAAACATATGTAATACTCCAATTATGAATTTTTATGCGACTTTCATAAATAGCATTCCATATTTCAATAATTTCCCGTTTTAATAGCGTTTTATTATGTATTAGAATTATTTAATCTTCTGTCCATTTCAGATTTTAAATATTCATAAGACTAATATCTAGATTTTTATGATAGAAAAGTTACAACTTAATTAATCGAGTTTCTAATAAGTAATGAATAAATTTAATTTTCATCGATGCATTTTTATCGCTCAACATTTCAATATACGAGCTATAACGTACAATTTCGTACATACGTGTATAATTTTACATGTTATGTAAAATTCGAGAACGAAAAAAAAAAAAAAACAAAAATGCCTCTCCAATACAATATTCTTTGTTCAATACGCAATTCCTTTCCATCAAATCTGTAATAAAAGGGACTCGAAAATTTAAACGAAGTCCTTCCTAATAAAATATTCGAGAGTCTCTTTGATGAATAAACGAACTCCTTAAACGAAGGACAAGGAGATCGCGAATTCACGAAGGAGAAGGGATGAAAAGATATCTGTGCCTCGAGATTTAAATAATTTCACTTATTCAATACGTGGACGAATTCGATTCAATTCAACCGACCCTGACGTGTACGAACGCGCAACGATCGGAAAAACAAATCGCACGTGTATTTGCGGAATCAATCGCTCGAGGACAGCTTTCGATGTTGTTCGAAGCCAACGGCGAAATCGTGACGTCTCTCTCTCCCTCTCCCCTCTTATTTTTCTTTTCAGGCTCCCATGCGATCGATCCCTGCGCCTCAAAATATTGCGGGATCGGCAAAGAATGCGAACTTTCGCCGAACAACACAATCGCGGTGTGCGTATGCATGCGAAAGTGCCCACGGAGGCATCGACCTGTTTGCGCGAGCAATGGCAAGATCTATGCAAATCATTGCGAGCTTCACAGAGCCGCCTGCCATTCCGGATCGTCGTTGACCAAAAGCAGACTCATGCGATGCCTACATCACGGTAAAAATTGTTGATTATTATTATTAAATTGTTACGTGTGATATCAATGATATTTTTTTTAATCAATCCTATTAACATTTATTAATCATAATATTAGAAAATTAAGTTAGATATAAATTGTATAATTACAGTTTGAAAAGAATAATCAGACGATTCGATGATTCTGCATTTAAAAGAGTTCTTTAAATGACAATTGAATGATAAAAAGTTAGATAGAAAAATGAAAGGTGTATAAAATTTCATGAATGACAAAGTGAATGATCCATTTTGATTATTATTTTATAAAAAAGAAAATCACGAAAATTGAATAAATGAAGAAGATTTCTATCTGTGTAAAATAGCAAAAATAGCTATTATCATCGACACCATTCTATTAAAGTGACGTTTTAAATTATCACGTAGAAATTGACGAATGATTAGTATAATTAAATTAAAATAACCATCTCGTTTTTCCAAATTAATCGCAGATATCGAGAATGCTCACATTCGAAGAACTTTACACATGAACAGAACATCCCTCAAAACGAGCAAGATTGTATCTTATCCAAAATCTAGGAGCCGAAAGAAGGGTGGTTTGAAAGATAACTTGATACCAGACAAGAACGACTCCGACTCGAAGGAATGTTCGAATCAAGAATACGAAATTATGAAGGTATATAATAATAATTACTTAAATCTTTGCCTTTGTCATATCTTCATCGTCATTGATACTTATTCTTCCATTGCAGGACAATTTGTTGCTTTACAATCACGCGAGATTAATGTCACAAGACAATCATAGCAAAGAGTATCTCGTCAGTATAATGTTTTCTCATTACGATCGAAACAATAATGGCAATTTGGAACGCGAAGAATTGGAACAGGTAATTTTATTTTTTTTAATCTCTTCGTGATTTTGAATTTATTCGATGACTGTAGATATTTTTTATTATATTTACATAGTTCGCGGAGAACGAAGATTTAGAAGAATTGTGCAGAGGCTGCAATCTCGGACATATGATTAGCTATGATGATACGGATGGCGATGGAAAATTGAACGTGAATGAATTTTACATGGCGTTCAGCAAACTCTACAGTAAGTAATTTCTTGTCTCTTGTATTATTCAATTCTTTAATTTAATCATAGTAAAAACAAAAACAAAAAACTTTGCAAATATTTTTTTTTGTTCAGTGATGTTCTTTATAAGTTCTTTATATACTATTAAAATTTAAATATAAATTTTATATTTATGCATATATATATATAAATTATGTACACAAAATGAAGAATATTATCGTATACTTAAAGTATCTTTAAATTAGCGCAATCGTTCATAGGTGTCTCGGTGGTATCTCTGGACAAATCTCTCGAAGTGAATCATATTTCTGCAAGGGTGGGTGATAACGTGGAGATCAAATGCGATGTCACGGGTACACCACCACCACCTTTAGTATGGCAACGAAATGGAGCTGATTTAGAAACACTGAACGAGCCTGAGGTATGATGATAAACAATTTCTTAAACAAAATCGCTAAAACGAATCTATCTTCGCATACAATGAATCAACAATAACTTTTTTCATTTGATAGATCCGAGTGTTCAACGATGGCAGTCTTTATCTGACAAAAGTACAACTGATACATGCCGGAAATTATACTTGTCACGCAGTTAGAAATCAGGATGTCGTTCAAACACACGTGTTGACTATTCATAGTAAGTTTTACGAAATATCGCATGATTTATCGATATTTTTCTCTTTTGCAAAGAACGATCATTTTTAAAAAGTTTTCGACTCTTAGCTATTCCCGAGGTGAAAGTGACACCGCGATTTCAAGCGAAACGTTTGAAAGAGGAGGCAAGTATAAGGTGTCACGTGGCTGGTGAACCACTTCCGCGAGTTCAATGGTTGAAAAACGACGAAGCGCTGAACCATGATCAACCGGACAAATATGATCTTATTGGAAACGGTACTAAACTTATCATTAAGAACGTCGATTATGCCGATACCGGGGCTTACATGTGTCAAGCTAGCAGCATTGGTGGTATTACCAGAGACATCAGTAGTTTAGTGGTTCAAGAACAACCTACTCCAAGTAAGTTACATGCATATGATATAGATCTGTTCTTTTTCTATTTCATACAATTAATAGAAAACAATTAAAAAAAGTTCTTTGTCATAGTTGATGTGTATAATTATATTTAATAAAAAAAGGGGAATAAATATAAATCATTATTTTTTTTATCTAGATAAATTAATATAAATTATACTTTTATCCAGCGACTGAGAGTGAGGAGCGAAGATTTTTCTCGTTTCACCAATGGGGGATTTTGGTATACGAGCCATCTGCTTGTCGGCCGCGACATGAAATTCGATCTACGGATGTTATACCAGGTACACAGGTAAAATCAAATGTGTTATTACATAATTATTTATCGCATTATTTGATTTTAGGCTTTCTTAACTCAGATTGTTATTATTCAAGGCTTCCAAATGTATTTCTCAAATCAAACGTTATTCTCTTATTGCGTTAAATAATTAATAAATAATTTTATAAAACGTATAATTATTATAGTCTAGCTACTAGTCTTAGACGATAAAATCAGTTTTATATTTTTTATATATATTTCCTTCAATTTCATAATTTAGGAGCATGTGTGCGGAGTTAAAGGTATCCCTTGCTCGTGGGGACGTGCAATCAATGTCGCAAATCGATATGTATACGTCAGCCAGCCGGATAAAGATCGCGTGCTTGTCATTAGTGAAATACAAATGGTTATAGTCGACGTGAGTGAACTTGTTATTTGTTAATATTATGTTAAATGATTAATCATAATATATTATGAAAGTAAATCTTGTCTTTTTCCTTATTAGGTAATACCAACAGATAAAAATCCTGTTCAACTTTGGTATGTTCCTTCTCTTGATCAAGTATGGATATTGAATTGGCGAAATCAGAAAGATATCGATGTGAAAACTGTTCAAGTAATCGAAAATGCTGCTCAGAAGAAAAAGCATCGCGCTATTCGACCAGAACCCATTGATGCGCAATTCGATATAATCCAAAATATTTATATCCCTGAACCACAAGTAAATATAATTATTGAAAATTATTATTTATTTTGAAGATACATAAATGAAATACTACTGTACATTTTTTAATCCATTTAGGATATTGAAAACATTTTCAAGTACGGTTATGTGAGTCACGCAAATCAACGTAACATGTACAAATTGGATTTGAAGAATATGAAATATACACGTAGTGCTGATTTAAGTTCTTATAATTGTGTTCCAATTAATGTTCAATTTTCGGTTCTATGTGAGTAATTCAATACTTTATGAACTTAACAAATATATATTATAAATCTATAACATTTCTTATATTATTCTATTTTTTATTCAGATGGATTTGTAGTAATTGAATGCCAAGAACCAGTCACTAACCGACCAACGGGTCAATTATTATTGGATTATTTAACTGATACCGTTCTTGCATATAAGCCAAAAATTTTAGGAAAACCAACGATTTCACCTGATTCTCGACATCTTGTCACATTAGATAAGCAAGAAACAGGCGTAACTCTAGTCGTACAAGAAATATCATGTAATTAGAATTTATTTTTTTCTTATCAATTTCTTAAGTATTTCATTCGTGATTATCCATCACTTTTTTCAGCCGATGGTTTGAAATTCGCATTTGATGTGAAAACGACATTGAATATCAGTGATATCGCACTCTATCCATCACAAACGACACATGGTTACGATATTTACGCGTCATCTATTGACAAGGAAAACATTCTTTTCCTCGATCTATCAACTGGTATGAAAATTTTTTAATACGATGCTTTTTTGCATTAAAAAAGTTAAAAATATTTATTTTTTTATCATAGGCAAAGTAGAAATGATAACAGGTGTTGGTAAAGCAACATCGCCTAATTTAACAAAGTGGGGAAACCCAAATAGACCAATTGTACAAAGTGGTATATTTGGCAAATATATGGTTAGTCCTTCGAATGATGCACTCTTCGTTTTAAATGGCGAAACTCGAACAATAAATTGTGAAATTGGAGGTCTGCAACATCCTGGAGCGGTGGTATGGTTTACAGTGTCTTTACATTAAGCAATCGAAATTTTAACAACGATATATGGCGCGTATAGATAAAGAAAAATATTCAAGCACAGAAAAAACAGTGATATTAAATCAATATCATGTACATCACTATTTGAACAAAAGGATAGAATAATTGTAGTTTTGTTAGGTTAGAAGAAGGAATGGTTGAAACAAATTTTGAGAAATATATTCTAACACCAACATACCATTATCCATGGTTATCGTTAAAATATCTAAAAAGTTTCCGAGTATCACTCTTCAATGATTAATGGCGTATTTTTGACACCATCGTGCGAATAAACGTTTTTGATCGTTATAATGCAAATATTTATCGCGAAATATTTATCGATAAGATTTTTAATGTACATACCAAAGATCGTCTTTTACATATATATTTAACGTACCTAATCGTTACCCTATCGGTGGCCTTAGTTTCTCTCGATTTTGCATATCTCAATCTTTGTACTCGTATATTTCTCTTTCGAATAAATTTTCAATGGCTATAAAGATATATATAGAATTCTTCCAAATAGCGATTAGAATAAAGTTATTTCTTACCCAATATTTATTATAAATTATTAAAACTTGTTATTTCTGAACTCGATATATCGAAATATTTAAAAATTTGACATTTTTTATTTTTTAACGACATTTAAAAGTTATTTTCTTAAATATTAAGAATTAATTTTAATAATTAAGAATTTATAATGATTTTTTTATGTTATCCAATTAGTTAATTAAAAAACAAGAACAGTCACAAAATTACCAAATGAACACAAATATAATATAATGTAATCACTTTCTAGTTAATAGGTTTTCACCAAAAAATTGGAACAGTTTTTTTTATGGTAATTTTTACAATAACTTATACGACAAAGACGTATATAATACAGTCATCGAGCCACAAATAGCATACTAACAACAGATATGATGATTATGTATTATAACGCATGCGTGTGTCGATTGTACGCGTGAGGATACGAGCGCATATAACAAATAAAATGAATATCTTGTAATAAAATTACAACAAAACTAATTTAATAAATAATCTGCAAATACAAATTTTTTTCTCTGTACATGCAGATTATGAACATTTTAGCAGTCTTGTATCCATTCAAATAAAAAGGAAATAATGATACAGTGAATGATTACACTCCATCATTAAGGATCGTACTTTTAAGTGTGTTCTAGTCGTAACATTCGCCTTTATTCACTAATAAATTACGTCTGTTCAAAACCTCAAAGTCTACGTTTAATCACCTACTGTACAAATTCAACGTATATTTACGCACTAATCTTGTATAAATACATTTAGTTCTTTTCAAATTATTAATTCTTCCTTACAACTGCTGTTTTCACATTAAACGCCATTAATGAATCTAGCAAATACACAATACCTTTCAACTGAATAAATGATCACTGATAAAATGCACAATATTCAACGAATTTCGATGCACGTGCTGTATCATTTTATATAAGATGTTTGCTAGAAATTTAACAGCAAGAAATTGGATAATGTAAGGAAGGAAAAGAGACAAAGAGGCAGACCATGAGCGAATTATTAGGAAAAATAGATCAAGAGATTTGTGAGCAGTTTTCCATTCAAGATGATGTAGTTTGATCAACATATAAACGCAACACCTTGTAAACTCTTCTCTTGATTCCTTGTATCCTATTTTGTTCCTCACTCTTTGTATCTCACTGACCATTTGCCAGTTTCGTCGTTCCAGCACTGGTTATATATTGCACGATTTTAAATTGGTCCCTTGCCGACTGTAAAAAAGTATATATGCGTTGCTAAAATCTTCCTCTTGAGGTTTCTGTCTGCTTGTAATTTCATCATTGTAATAGTACCACGTATCAGTGCGAGGATTCTTCGCGTATGCCGTATAATGTCCTGCCGAAACCCCTATAAATATATAATATATAATATACATAATATCATATTATACCAAATTAATATGAATGAAATAAAAATATGTACCTCCAAAATGACAAACACAAGCATAAAGATCATATAGATGTTGTCCAACGCTTAAACCAACCAATGGAAATGTAACTTTATCATCTAATTTCATACTAGTACACTCATAAAATACGAATCTGTAAAAAAATACAATTTATATTAAAAAAAAAAAAAATACAATTTTATATATTAAAAAACAAATCTTATTATTAAATTAAACACTTATTACTAATCTAAATTATTAAATTATTAAATATAAAACTATAAAGACATACCGTTTCAAATACACTATAAGGAACTTTGGATATCTGTGGACTGTAAGAGTCTTCGTAGCGCACCGATTTCGTTCGCATTTTGGACAAAACCAAGGATTGTGTTCATCTAATGTTTCGCTATAGAACGTGTAAGTCTGAATATTATTTACAAGTTACTTGAAAACTTTCAAAACAAAAAATTTTAATTATTAATAATAATTCCTACCTCTGACTAAATGCTTGAAGACAATCATATAAAGATAAAGGATGATGAGGCCTTTGTTTGCTGATACTAACATGATCAATTGGGGATGCAATCTTAGGAACCTGCTCCGTATAACGCACTGCTAAAGTATCTCCATTACATAAGATTACCATACCCGTTTCAGGTACACTGCACCCTGTACAATGTGTAGTATACATACAACGAGAACAATGATGACCCTATAAAAATATATATTTATTAATGTATTTTATTTTGAAATTTTGTAGCGCAATTTTATTTATTAAAAACTAATATTTATAATTGTTATACATATTAATAAATAAATAAATATATTTATCTATTAAAAATTAATCACTTATTTTTACATTGACAAAAAGAAAAGTATTAACTAATCATATTCTACCTGTCCTGTAACAAAATGAAGCGTATAATTTCCTTCTTGTGGTACATTTTTTCTTACAATATCGTACAAATCTTTAGCATTCACTCTTGAAGGTAATCTTACTAAATGAGGATAACCAAAAAGTTTTGTTCCTTTACGGTTGTTTGATGTTTCGTTTGTTGTATCATGTCGCAAGACTAGCGGTACATTTAAGATCCTAATTGCAGGTCTCGGTCTGCCTGTTTGATCTATTTTAATAAAAGACGACGCAGTCATATAAGTTGAACACATTGGGCACATTTGCGGTTCCGTTTGATTTTTGAAGTAATTCTGTTAAACGTAAACAATAATTAAAACAATAATTTATAACATATTCACTATAATATACACTTGAATATATATTCAAATTTCAATTTTTACAATTTTTTACAATTATTATATATATTATATTAAGGAATAAAAAAAAACATCAACATATAATATAATACCCTCAGTATACGGCAACCTCAGATTAGTCTGAATTGAGTTCCAGAAGATAAATTTTCTGGCTTGCGGATTGTACTCAAACAGCGAACCATACGGGTTTCCATCTTTTCGTTTCCAAGTACCTCTACTTCAAATGAAGTTTCCTGGGCTAATTGGCAACGTAAAGCTATTTCTGGTTCCCGTACATACCCTTATGGTATCATCCGTCTAGAATGTTTCTTGGTTTAATCTCAGACCTTCCCGAGGTGAAATTGTGGTAACTATGTACCTTGCTTGTATACCCCTTCCGCTAGATTGAAGCTGCCGTTTTCATCATCGGGTTTTCATATTGTGCCAATTATATTTATACAAATAAAATATCTTTATATCACTTTTAAAAACATTATGAAAAAAAAAAACTAAAAATTATAAATAAAACTTACCTCAATACAAGTATCACACATAACAAAATTGCAACTGTTCCCGCTGTGCCTTTTCAAATCTCCATCCAATTCTTCGAGACAAATTGTACATGGTATTTCCTCTCCCGTAACTGTACATTTCTGACAGGAATCGGCCTCGGTTACACGATCTCCACCACCATCTGGTACTGAAGTGTATGCATCAGGAGGTTCCGTAAGTTCAAAGGCATATATAGATCGATTCGTATCATTGATGTGTCTCAAGAGTGTATTGTCATCCTTAAATGTAAAACCTTGATGTACAATCCAACAATGACAATTCCGTCTAGTGCGATAAGTTACAGCAAGCAAGATACATAATTCTCGATACCTACGGTGCAAGGGTAAAATAATATAATCGAGGAATGATGGCCACATTGGGCCAATTACAACAAAATAAATACGAAAACCAGATTATATAGGAGAATATAGGAGCAAAAAAATTGAATCTGTGTGATGGAATGTAGCCTCGTAACCAAACTTTATGCTACGAGAATGTTCTTCCACAACATTTATTCTTGGAGAGCAGTATCAACGATTATCGAGACTACTCGATAAGCCGCCTTCTTCACTCTCCATGATTGTTCTTGTACTAACATATAGACCCACGCACCGTTTTTTTTTTATGATATGGTATAAAATTAAACTTTATTCTTAACAACTATAAATGTCTTGAAACGTCCTTAAAAAACATATTGTGTTAAAAATTTATTCAAATAGCAACTATCATATTTATCAATCTGTAGATTTTTTTCAAAATATTATGAAATCATAATAAGTTGACTAATCAAATGAAAATTTCTTGAAATATATGTATATACTATATATAAATAAATAAACTAAAAAACCAACTCTCATAGATACAACAAATTGAATTTTATATGCTTACCAAAATTTTTGATATATGATTTTCTAAAACTTCAGCAAGTGCAATATTTGTTACTGCAATATTTTCTTTGCCAAGTGTTTTTAATAGTTCCTCCTTCAATTTCCCAATGCGTGATTGTTTGTTTAATGAAACAACGCACCTTATAGGTTGATCGCCATTTGCAGGAACGTATGTAACATTTAGTTGTCTCTCCATTGCATGAGGTAGTGGTACTGACAAATACATGAAAGGTTCATACGTAACAGAAACATGATTACATACTGCACAAACAACCTATAATGGAAAAAGAGTATAAAAATATAAATTATTTTAAATATATACACACATATACATATGTATTATATATGTATTATTATATATATGACATGTATATTATATGTATTTACACATATACTATGTAGTTTAAACATTTGTATCAGCAGAATGAGACATGCTTTTTATGCTTCTTAAAGCAAGAAGGTATGGCTGTTGAATTTTAATATAGGAAACATTTTACGGTAAAAGCCAAATATATAAACTAGTTACCCCAACGTATAGTTTCCACAATATAAATTTTTATATATGATATAATTAAATTTACCTTGCTTTTAAACTGTCCTTGGAAAGTATCAACAATAATACTTCTATTAGATTTTAAATGCTTTGCCCAATGTTTATCAGCCTCAATTTCATCTTGTGTCTCTACAGTACCATTTCCATAACTTTGTGAAATTCGTATGCATTGAGAACTAATACTTCCTTGACCATCACGTTTATGATTCTTTTCTTGATCATCTAACCTCATACGTTTTACATTACATTTTTCTAAACCATTATCATATTCTATATCAGAACCACTTGATGCATAATCTACACCACAATTGACTTTTTGAACATTAACTTCTTTTATCCTTTTGATACTGACACTTTTATTATCAAAATCATGATTTTCCATTAGATTTGAATTATCTAAAGGCATTCTACGAATATTTTCTTTCGGAAATTTTTGTGAATCATAATGAATCTCATTATTACATTCCTGTTGCATTACTAAGAAGTTTGCATTGCTAGTTTTTGCTTCTTTATGAATATCATAAAGACCGTGGTATTTCGGAACATTTTTTGAAAATTCAATTAATGTTTCTAGCCTTAGTGAAGGTGTGACTTCATTTTTCTTTTCATCGACTTCATTATGAATAAACGTATTTGATTTTGCTTCAACAGTTTCATCAGAATCAAGTGTTTCTTCGTCATCCTCGCCATCATTTAAAGGTGATCCTCGCGGCGAATTTGCAATACTATCTAATTCTCCTATAGGTGACCCTAAATCTGAAATTAAGTAATTTTTATTATTTTTATAATATATAATTTTAATTATTATAGATATTTCTAATAAGATATACTTTTACCTCTTGGTGAACCAGCCATTGTTACATTGGGGCTATTTGGACATTCTGGTGATGGTAAGCAATCATACATTTCCAATAAATCTGTATTACAATTGGAATTACTAGTGGCAGTGACTGAAGACATGATTTTCCCATTTGAATTTTCAATTGAATTATTCGTGTTGGCAGTGGTTGTAGATGATGGAGTTTGACAATTTTTTGTACATTTTGCAGTATTCATTTGTTCATGTAAAGAATCCAACAGAAGTGCAAGAAATTCCTGACAATCATGCTGTTAATCATTATTTTTATTAATTATTCAAATTCCTCATTAATAAATAAATAATATATAAAAATATTCCAAAGTTACCTGTCTATAGTCTTTAAATTGTGAATGATATGCCCCCAATGTTTGTTTAAATTCAGTAGGCCTAAGAACACTATATTTGCCAGACCACATTTTACCAAGAAGTGCACTAAAATGTGCCATCAATGATCCAGGAGGGGGAAGTTTTTCTCCCCTTTGTTGTAAATCCAAAAAATGTCGCAGTACGGGAGGTGTTGCAGTTAAACACTGCAAGCCAGCAGCCATAAAACAAGTATTACCGAGATTGCGAAGACCACATACTCCCGCGCGTAAAACTACATCTTCTATATAACATAAGTATAAATAAAATATTAATCAATTATCTTAATAAATAATTATTTTTAAATCAGATATTAATTTTATATACATAAATATGACAGTATTTATACATACCCATTTGTGAATCATCTTGAGAATCTCCACCTTCTGAAAACAAATTGTTTAGAGCTGGAGTATCAGGAGGTAAAAATGGACCATATTCTATACCAGTTCCATTATCACCAATAGGATCTGCACCAACATCTGTAAAATCATTTAAACCAGGTGGTGGTGGAAGTGGAATAGCATAATCTGATGTAGAACTATTTGCTTCAGTCCTATATAACATAAATATTATGTTAATAATTTAAATAATTTATTACATATATTAATAATTATTTGAATAAATATCATACCATGTATCTTCTATACCCATATTAACTTCTGATGAAAGCAGTTTATCCTCTTGAAGAGTTAAAGTATGGTCTAAAGAAGAAGTTAATGGACTAAGACCAGTAGAATCTAACACCTCTGATATCTCTGCGACTTCAGGCAGATAATAAATTTCAGAAGATCCAATCATTGAAATATTTTCTACTTCTGAGACATCCACCTTATTGTCCATTCAGATAATGAAATACCAAATATTACCTAAAAGAATAATTATTACAAAAGAAAGAATCAATGTATATTTGTTAAAATTAAAACATTATATTTTATACTTTCTTAAAATAAAAATTTTTTTCATATTTATATCTTATAAATTGATAAGAAATTATATTTAACTTTATAAAATTTATTTAAATTAATAAATTACAAATATAAAAAATATAAATCTAATATATTTAATATTATAAAAACATTAAATTTAGTAAATAGTGATATACATAAAAATATTTTTTTCATAAAAGCAAAAAAACTTTAGAATTTTATTTATTGTTCTGTTTTCCCTCTAATTTTGTTAAGATCTAACATGCAACGTTTAAATTTCATTTAGTATAACATTAATAACAAATAAATGAATATAAAAAATAACAAATAATGATAATAAAATATAAATATCATTTCAAGCCAAAATTTTACAAATTAAATTGAATTATATGAAATCATCAAACAATATTTAAATCATCCTAACCTAAGACGTCGGGAACGATTACCGCGAATTCTTTGGCGTCCTATTGTTGTAAGTTGATAAACTCCTCAAGGAACAATTATTATCGATAACTGGATTTTTTTGTTTTTTAGAAGTAAGATTATATTATATTGGCTAGTACACTGATCAATATGGAAGAAACTGAATTCTGTAGTCTATAAAAGTACAACTAGACCTTGCCCACACAAATCGTAATCATCCTGTAATATCGTAATAGCACAAATTTGATATAAATATACACAGAAAAACATACAATTTTATATTTAATATGGTTGTATAAAAAAATAAAACCAATATTCACTTACATTGCAGAAAATCCACTTTCTTCTTCATGAAATATCTATACCGCCATTGCAGTAAACGGCATGGTCAATGGATGCGCTAGAAAAGGAAGATTTACCTACGATTATAGACCTGCTTACAACGCTTCAGGAAGTTGGCATAGCTATTTTTTAATTTGCAATGTAGGTATTACTTTTTATTTACTAGGGAAATTCCATTTACGCGCCTAAAATTTCATTCTATCTTCAATAAAATGTTTTTTTGTACAAACTGGTTATTCTATAAAAGATATAAATGTATTGGAAACAATATATTTTTTCTTATTTAAACAAAATTTTTATTTAAATTTGTTCATAATTATATTATATTATAAAATATTAACATTTTAACAATATTTTACTTAATAAAAAACAATAAAAATATTTAATCGACTTATCAAATTTAATAGAAACTTTTTTTATTTTTCTCGTTTCATGAAAATGCTTCATTTACATATACATTTTTATAGAGTAACATATACACACCCACATAAAAAGTACATACAAAACTATCTACTACTGATTTCTTTGACACACACGAGGGATACAAATTTAATCATGTCTAATGTCAATTACTGTACTTTGTCATTCTTATTCATTCAGTGATAAATTAAAGTATGTAATATAAGTTATTTAATAGTAACATTGGAATATATTTTAGAAAGAAATAATAACTTATATCGAAAAAATGCAATGATAATCGATATACAATATAAATAAGATAAGGTAATGTTAATTTAAAAGAAAAAAATATTTTATGACGAAAATTTATTAACAGAAAATAATTATTTTATCTAGTTTTAAAAGTTATATTATATGTATTATTATAATTATTTCTGTATATTAATATAAAAAAATAAGAATATATACTATTCTCAGTTATAAATATTAATTATATCTATAACAAATATTTCAATAATGAATATTAATATTTTATATTTATATTTATATTAGTGCTTATATACATACATCATAGAATCTTACATTAAAAATTTTGGAAAATAACATTATATTGATAAACATGTCATCATCAGAACAATCAATGATTGTACAATCAAAATTTGTCTCAGGAGAGACTGTAATAATTGTATCCTTTTAATTGAAAACAAAAATTAATTACTTTGTATATTTTTAAAAAGTATATAAAAGTATATATGAATCTATAAATCTTTAATCATATATGAAGGCAATGGAAGCATCATTGATACAAGGTTGGGTTAAAGCTGCACGGATTATAGCACTTCTTAACAAAGGAACCACTCATGCATTAGTTATTTTAATTACTTCAAGAACACCCCCTCAAGTTTATAGTGATCTTACCATAGAAAGAGTATTGCCTATTGATCAAGATTTTAAATGTAATATAAGTATGTACTTTTGTTTATTATTTATATATTTAATGTTCAATTATATAGTTACAAATTAATGTTTTAATATTTTTATATATTAATAATAAATATTATTTATTAGATACTGATGACAAACAACAAGATAGTTTAGATGTTTATCTTAATGTAACATCAAGAAAATTACATTTAGTATTTGAGATGAGACCTGGAGTAGTAACTAGTTCCTTAGTATCTGAAATATTTAGAGCTATAGAAGGTAAAAATATATTAATAATTACTTATGTATTGATAAGGTATATAAATATATTTTTTAATCATTACAGTATATCAAAAAACTAAGAATTCAGCATCAGAATTTTTATGGGTCCAAAAATTAACAGGAAATACACGTAACTTAAATTCTAATGCCAATGAAGAAATACAAGATAATACTGATCCTGTTAGTAGATTTTACATTATAATTTTTATATTTATTTAAAAATTAATAATAATGAAAATTTAAAAATATCTTGTATAGCTGGTAGATTTAGAAAGTCCAGTTCTAGTTGTAACAAGACGTAGTATTGCTTCTGGCAAATCACCAGTAGCTGCTAGAGAGTCAGCAGTACGATATCAAATGGCATGTAAAGAGGATGATTATACATACAGTAAAACATTTCGGTTTGTTTTATTTTTTTCATACATTATATAAAATACTATTATATAATTTTATTTTATACTATTTCTAAAATAATTTATTATAGAATTTGTTATAATATATTTATAATTTATTATAGTATATTTATTGGTACATGGAATGTAAATGGCCAACCACCAAATGGTATTAAATTGCATAGATGGTTGAGTTATGATAAAACACCTCCTGATGTATATGCAATTGGATTTCAAGAACTAGATTTAACTAAAGAAGCATTTCTTTTCAATGATACTCCAAGAGAAGAAGAATGGAGGTAAAACAATTATATTTATATATAAATATTAAACAATATTTTAATATTATTTTTTTATATTATTAATGTGTTTATAGACAAGTTGTAGCAAAATCTCTTCATCCAAATGGTGTTTATGAACAAGTAGCTATTGTGAGATTAGTGGGTATGATGTTGCTTATATATGCTTTGCATAATCATATACCATACATAAAAGATGTATCAGTTGATACAGTAGGTACTGGCATCATGGGTAAAATGGTAATATTTATTTTTATTGTAATATTTATATTTATAATATATTACAAATGACAGAAAAGTTTAAAATTCAATATTAAATTATTTTAACAAATTTAATCTTATTAGGGAAATAAAGGAGGTGTAGCAGTAAGTTGTTCTATTCATAATACATCTATTTGTTTTGTTAATGCTCATTTAGCAGCACATTGTGAAGAATACGAAAGACGAAATCAAGATTATGCAGATATATGTGCGCGATTATCTTTTACAAAATATGTTCCTCCTAAAAATTTTAAAGATCATGAGTAAGTATCCTATTCAAATATTATATTTCAAAGTATATAGTGTGAAACTGTGTAATTAAAAATATAAAAATTTTATAAATAGTCAGATCTATTGGTTAGGAGACTTGAACTATCGAATAACTGAAATGGATGTCGTAGTCGCTAAACAACATATAGATGAAGAAAACTATTCTGCTGTCTTAGCTTTAGATCAATTAGGTCAACAACGACGACTAGGCCGTGTTTTACAAGGATTTCAAGAAGCAGAAATTACATTTAAACCCACTTATAAATATGATCCAGGAACTGATAATTGGGATTCAAGGTTTTATAGTTATTATTTTGAATTTTTCTTTGTGTATTTTTAAGTTAAATATCGTTTATTAAATATAAATATCAATCATAGTGAAAAAGGTAGAGCACCAGCATGGTGTGATCGTATATTATGGAAAGGCGAAGCAATTACATCAATAGATTATAGAAGTCATTCTGAATTAAAAATTTCAGATCATAAACCAGTTAGTGCAATTTTTGATTCTCAGGTAAATATAAATATTTTTGAATAGTTTTATTTAAATTTTTTAATTTATCATATTTTTCAATTTATAGATTAGAATCATAGATATGGCAAAATATCGTAAAATTCACGAAGAAGTTATGAAAAAACTTGATAAATTAGAAAACGAATTTTTACCACAAGTGATGGTTGATACAACAGAAATTATATTTGATACATTAAAATTTCTTGAACCTAGTAGCAAAGAACTTATCATTGCTAATACGGGCCAGGTAAATAAATTTTTAAAATATATATATAGATAATCCTTGTATAATTCGCTATTTAAGCTACTGTAATATAATATAGTTTAAAATAATAATTCTTATATAATGCAATATTTATACAATATGATTTTGATATATATAATAAGTTCATATGAAATTATCCGTTTATGTGCAATAAAAAATTATTATTTTATTACTTTTATAAAATTTAATTATTGTGTTACATAAAGTATTCTTCTTTTTTTTATTAATTATGCTATTTATAGGTACCAGTTCAATTTGAATTTATAAAAAAATTAGGTGACACTAGTTATTGTAAAGAATGGTTGGATATAGAACCATTTAAAGGTTTTATCAAACCAGGTATAATTTTTTTTCTTTTTTTAATCAAATTGGATATTTTTTAAATTTATTTATTTATCATGTTTAGGGGAAAAATGTGATACTAGATTTGAAATATATGTTGATAAAAGATCAGCATGTAAATTAAATTCAGGAGAAGATAAATTATATGATATTTTAATTTTACATCTGGAAGGAGGAAAGGATATATTTATAACAGTTACAGGTTTGCAATATTTCAACATTATATTGCTTTTAAAGAACAAAGAAACGAGATTATATAATTTTCTTAGGTACCTATGAAAGAAGCTGTTTTGGATCTTCAATGGAAGCTTTAGTTCATATTCCAGTACCAATTAGAGAAATTCCTATTGGTAGATTAATGGAACTTGTAAGCATATCATATAAATATATATGTATAAAAAAAAATAAAATTAAAATTCTACAATTAAGTTAATTACTATTATACTATTTCACTAATATTATACTATTATACTAATATTACTATTTCATCAAATCATAGGAAAATAATAAAAATCTTTCTCAAGAACCATATGCTATACCTAAAGAAATATGGCTCTTAGTTGATAGGTTATATCGACATGGTATAAAAACGACAGGACTTTTTGAAACACCCGGACTTCCCAGTGAAATTATAGCTATAAGAGATTGGTTAGACAATTGGAGTCAAGATCCAATGCGTATCCTAATCAAAATATTCAACTTATATCAATATCTTATACATTATTATGAGTAATTTTGATTCCTTAACAACTACAAAGCTGGTAGTGTACACTCTGTTGCAGAAGCATTACTTTTACTTTTAGAGTCTACAGCTGAACCTTTAATTCCATACAACTTGCATAGTGTGTGCTTATCTGCTGCAACAAATTATTTACAATGCAAACAAGTGTGTAGATATAGATTTATAATTTTTAAAGAAATTTTCATGTTATATATATATAAATCTTTCTTAATATTTTAATTAATATTTAATTTTTTTTATAGATTGTAATGCAACTTCCAGAAATAAGGAGAACAGTTTATGTTTATATTTGTTATTTTTTACAAGAATTATTAAATCATACTCAAGATAATGAACTGGATGCTAAAACTCTTGGTAAATTTTTATTTATTTATTACTATAAAAAAATAATAAACTTATACATTTATTAATCATTTATTTCATAGCAACAATATTTGGATCAATTTTTTTAAGAGATCCACCAAGAAGTAGAGGTGATAAAAATCAAAGAAGTCGTACTCAAGTTGTTCAAGCAACAATTGATCGAAAAAAAGCTGCATTTGTTTATCACTTTTTAATAAATGATCAAAGCGATTTTATTCTTGGTCGATAATAATATTTTTAAAATTAAAAACAAGTATTTATCAAATGCAAATTCAGCTAATGGAAGTTTCAAAAGAAATAAAACATTTCAAATGTTCTGTTTTGCCACATTAATATTTATGTAATAGTACTTAATTATACAAACAAAATTATAAAATGAATACACGTAAATAACTTGCCAATTCAAAAATATTGTATGATATAAAATAATGAAATACTCGTAATAAGTAAGAAATTTATGTTATAATTTCATCTAGTCTTTGTTTAGTTTGAAGTGACTAAATATGTATTATATAAACTTATTATAATAATAAGAAATTGTTATTTGACTTATTTTAAATTAATTTTATAATAACTTGTAATTATTAAATATTTAAAATTATAATACTCTAAATATATAAAAAAGATAACCGAAAATTTAATTCTTGTTCAATGGCTTATAATTGTATTATATTATATAAAATTATTGAAATTACTATTATCAATACATGTTAACTTTTGTATCAAATTTTTATTAAAAAATACATATAAATTGTAATAAGAAATGTAGCTTATAGTATTTTATAGACACATAATTTAACAAATCACAAGACAATTACATGTATAATAAAAAGAAAAAATGAAAATAATTGGTACATAAAATTTTAACGGTGATCAAATCTAAAGGTAGATGTTTGTGTATTATAAATTCAAAAAAACATGATATTAAATAATATTAACATAAAATGATATTAAAAATGATTCTTAGAATATCGCAAAATACATATTTCATACAGAACAAAAATTCTGAAACTAATAGTATCAGAAATGAAAAGTATATATAAACAAATAAATTGCAATTTTAAAGCTATATATAAAAAGGAACATTAAATGGAAATTGATGTCATGGAACATACAAAATATCAATAAAGCATTATGAAAGGGACAAAAAATTCTTCTTTAATGTTCATTTGCAACGACGAAAAAATGTAAACCTATTTACAAAAAGAACTGAAACACACACTAGTATATTAATTAAATAACGTAAAACTGGTTATGGAATCTTAAAAATTGAAACCCTTTTGTGCCGTTTCAGCTGGTTTAAATTCCAATTGACCATCAGCTGCTGTAGGTGTTGTTAATGTTGATTCTTCGGCTTCCTATAAAAAAAAAGTTCATAATAATATTTGAATATTTTTATTATTAAAATATATATTATTATTTAAATATATAAATTTTTATAAATTTTCTTACTGGTTCTGAGAAGAAGTTATCAATCATTGCAGTAGCTTTTTGATATACTTGTTCTACATCATGATGCTGAAGAGCTTCTAATTTATCCAAACCTCCAACTTCTTCTATCATAATAGCTACTCGTTCAATTTCTCCCATTTTTTCTGCTGCATTGAAAATATTAGTTAAACCATCAAGAACAACAATTATTGTTTTCCAATCTTTGGCTTCTAGAAGATTGCAAAATGGTGCAAGCACTCCTAACTGTACTAGTTGGGCTAATTGTTGTACTGATCCACCTGAAGTTAAATTTGTTACTGCCCATGCTGCCTCTTTTTGAGACTTAAAATCTCCCTATAAATAAAATATAATTTTACATATATAATTAACTAACTTTTTTGGTAATTGCAACTAAGAAAAGATATAATTTACTAACAGATTCTAGAACATGTATCAAAAGTGGTAATAACCCAGCATTTATAACATGTTGAATTTGTTCTATGTTTCCTGCAGTAATATTACTGATAGTCCATGCAGCTTCTTTAACGATATTGATACGATGATGTTGCAATAATAATCCCAAATGTTGTAAACCACCTGCTGATATTATTGCATCTGTTTGCATATCATTTCCTGTAACTATATTTCCAACAGCACGAAGTGCAGGTGTTAAAACTGTCACTTCAGTTGAAGTAAGTAATTGTACAAGTTTTGGTATAACTCCAGATTCAACAACCGCTTGTATTTTATCATTAGAACCATCAGTAAGATATGAAAGAGCCCAGCAAGCATCAGCTATAATAAAAAAATTTGTTTATAATTATTTTAGAATATATTATTACAAATGGAATATTCTAATTAAGTATCATGATTTTACCTAGTATATCTTTATCGTTATTACTAAGTAAACGATTTAACACTGGAAGAGCAGTTCTTACAATTTCAAATGGAGGTGGAGGATTTTTATTACGACACAAATTTGATAATGTCCAAACAATATTACGTGTAAATGTTACCTATAACAATAAATTTAATAATAATTTAATAGTATTATATCTATATTGAAATAAATATATGTTATACATACAGAAGTATCAGGCTTAATTAATTCTAATAAAAGTGGCATAGCATCATATCCAAGAACAAGATCTCGAGCTGCTGGACCATCTCCAGCAATATTACCAAGTGCCCATACAGCTTGTTCAGCAACATTAGGTGATGCAGATTTAAGTAATGCAACCAATTTTGGTATAGCACCATGTTTAACAACAACATGAGTTTGCTCTGATGTACCAGATGCTACATTTGTCAGAGCCCATGCTGCTTCAAACTGCAATGCAGCACTAAAAATATTTAATGTAAATAAAAAAATTTATGAAATAAAAATAAAATTATTATTATTATATATCCATACTTGTGATGATAATCTAAAAATTCAACACATCGTGGAACAATTCCACGTTGAATCATAATATCTATAGGTGGATTCTTTTCTCGGCTTAACATTTTTCTACATGCTTGTGTTGCTTGTAATTGAATTGTTTGATCTGAAGATTTCATGCCATTGACAATTTCTTCTATAGATACAGAAATAGGTGAAAGATTACTTTCACTCACAGGATTTTGTGATTCTTTGCCTACATTCAAATTTCGTCGTTTTAATAATTGTTCATCTTTTCTAGCTTTACGTAATTCTACTGATATTTCACTCCTTCTTCTACGTGCTTCCTATAACAAATTATTTATATATAATATTATATACAAAAATCATTCTTACAAATAAAGAAAATAAAGTATAATAAGAAATACAATTAATATTATAAATATATTTTATATCACATGTTTTACAACACAATGATTAATTTACCTCATGTTTATTATTAAATTTAAAATTAGCTTTACGACTATGACAATCAGCTTCTGGTGCAGGCATTTTTATACCTTAAAGAAACTGGATATAAATTTTTCTCTGTAAAAATATAAACAGTACAAATCGTTAATACAAAATTAAATAAAATAAATATAAAACATTATAACAATTTTAATAAAGTTACACAACTTATAATTTAAAAAGAAAGTTATTTATATATTAATTAAACATTTAACAATTATAATATAATATATATTTAATGATTGATAATATCTTGTTAAAAAATCAGTATAAACCCATATATGATACTACAAATCGTATTAAAAATTACACTATTTTAAATCTAAATTTTCTAACGGTTATTTACTCATTTTTCTCAATTCTTTTCTGTAGTACATAACATTTATTTACAGAGTAATTTTTAATATATATTAAAGACATCAAATTTTTTTTACTTACTGTGCAAATATGTCAATAAATATTAATATGTGCAGAATATAACGTAGCCCATCGAACACTTAACGAACCGATCGCGACCCGCGCGTTAAAGGTACAATGGCTGCTGAAGAATTTTCTTTGTACTTAGAACCTGTTGCTGTTGATCGAAGGACGTAAAAGAATTATTGTTTATATCTTCATCCAATTAGAACTTTCATTTGTATATGACGCAATAACATATTGAATTATGATTGGTGGTTGCAATTATGATGATATATGATTGGTCATTCAACATTCAACGTTCAATTTTTAAATTAGAATCAACTAATAAATAAATACTAATTATAATTATAAATTTCATATATTCCTTAAAATAATCTATTTAATTTATTATTTTTTGAAATCATTATACTTTTAAGAAATTGAATTTCTTAATACAGATATTAATGTCCAAGAATTTTTGAAAAAATCAGATTTTTCATTTTATATATTTACAATAATAATATATTCACAAATTGTTGCTTAAATTTTTTATTTTAATTATAATTTTGAATGTTTGAAAATGTAAATTTATCTATATAAATTTTTTCAGAATTTTTCAAAGATTTATCTAATAAAAACATATCGGAAAACAAATGATTTCCATTTATAATTTGAGGTAATTACAAAAACTCGCAAGTTTTTAAAATGATTATTTTAATTATCATTTAAAAATGATAATTTTAATTATAATACTTTCAAAAAATTTCAATTTGATAAATTAATATAAACTAGCAATCATAAATAAATATTTTAATTTTATGTAATAATCATTTAAATTTATATTATTTAATTTTATAATTCTTTATTATTTACATTCTAAAAAATAAATTAAAAAATCAAATTGTTATCATCAATGTAATATTATTGTTAATTATATTAATAATTAATATAATCATACATATATCTATATAAAATATAAATATAAAATGCATATAATAGAAAATAGAAATTTATATCATAAACAAATAGTTTGATATCTATTTAATGTACAAAATTACTCATATTATACAAAAATTATATAATAAATATTAAAAAAGAAGTAATATTATAAGAATATAATATATTTCATATAAACTCAGTATTTATAATATTAAAAAAAATATTACAATATTAAATATATATTTTTAAAAATATCTTATTATATATATATGAGGTATATTTATGTACTTATAATTGTTAGAATTTCTATTCAATAAATATTGTGCTTTAAGTCAGTTTCATATTTTACTTCATATTTTGCATAATATAAAATAACAGTATATAAATTTCAACATGTTTATTAAGTGAGACATTTTTTATTAAACATATTGTAAGTGTTTTCATGTGATACATGTCTCCAGAGTTTTTTTAACAGCATCACGTGCATAGGGAATATAAGACAAAGAATACCAAGTCATTGCCAATGATTGAATAATTATAAATAAAAGAGCCAATCCAGCATTTTTTAGCTAAAAATATGCATGTTAATTGGATTAAATTTTGTTATATTTAAAAAAAATATTATGTTATAAATATTACTATATATTATACTTACATGTAAAGCTGCAAATAAAGTTATTGCAATTGATACAAATACTAAAATAGTTGCAATCACTCTTGTTGGTGCAAACATTTTTTTTAAATTGATTGAATGGACCCATTAAAAAGCATGTGCTATGAATAAAATAAAAAATATCTTTTATTTAAAAGTATTGTTATTTGTTTACAATAAAATAAAGGATTATTGGGAAAATAATTACACTTTGAAAAATACAAAAATAATGTTAAAATAATTTTTATGATTTTTATTATATTTTATTAATGAATTTAAGTTACTTAATATTATGATACTTAGTTATAAAGTTAATATTATGATATTTTTTAAAATTAAACATATTTGTGAAAAAAATGTGTAGATACATAAGTACATAGAGTAATACCTAATAATAAATAAGTACCTAAAAGTATAAGAATATTTAATTTTAATATATTATTCTACCTTGCTAATGAGATGATATTTCCTAGAGTATAAAATACAGCAAAGACTGTAAGTCCTTTGTGTAAAAATAAGGCAAAAGATCCAAGGAAAGAGCAGAGAATACCAACAATAAAACAAATAGCAAAACCTTTTATTCGAGTAGACCAACTTAATGTAGTTTGATCCATAACCTATAAAGAACAAAATACATACAGTTTATTTTAATATTTCAGTATATTGGTAAAAAAATATTAAAATGTACTGTTATACAACATATATAATTTTTTTTTTAATTTATAAGCTTACCATAAAATCCACATCAGTCTTCCATTAAAAATTGTATGCATTTAAAATAATAATTTCATATAAATCAAATCAAATTACATGCATTTTAAAAAGTTTATATTACTAAAAATTATACAATTTTAATATTAATTACCTGAGTAATAATACCACTTTCTTCATCACATTGGTCATTACCACTTAAAGCTCTTTTTAATTTATCCATTTTCTGTTTCCAACTAATTATTATTTTTTAAAAATAATATTTTTATCTTAATATTTCAAAACAACACAATATTTTTTCACAAACTTAGAAATGATCCATCTTCCATTAATATGTAACTCATATTAATATTTAAATTTGATAATTATAATATAAATTGTATTTATACTTAAAATTGAAAGAAAAATATAATAAAATATAAATAAAGTAAATGTCAATAATCTTTTTGTATAGATATAAATAATATACTACGCGTAACAGCTGTTCTGTATAAATTTCTCAATTCACACTTTATTTATAAAAAAAAATTTTCTATTCTGAATATAAATACATAAATATATGTACTTAGGATATTTTCAAAAGACATTCAGTGATGCAACATAACAAATTTTTTAAGATCTATAAAATTCGAATTTTTAAACTATAAAATGATGTGATTGATTGGAATGATAACAAGTACATAATTTTTTGGTTAAGTAAATCATACATATATATTATGTTATATAACAATAATAAATCACTAATTACTATAATTTTAAATCTCTATAAATTATTTTAATAAAAAAACTTAATTGAATTATTATAGAAGGAACATATAATTAAATATTTTATATTTGTGTATTCATTAAAAATTTTTACTTTATTTTTTTTTTAGTTTTTTTCATATTTTAGATGATATTGATTACAAATATAATATATTATACAAATATATTTAAAAACAGATTTATTTTATGAATACATAGATACAATTTCATTTATATATTCTACTGCTTCTTTCTCTCCAATTTTTCTTAATATTGTTTGTATTTCCTTCAGTGATAAAGTTGCTTCCACCTAATAATTTTATTTTTTTTTTTATATAAAACTTCGTAATAATAATATAATATTATTAATTATATTATTAATAATATAATTAATCATTAACTTACATCAATATAATTTAAAAGAAACAATGATGGACTTGTTGAACTATGCTGGAATGTTTTTAACAAATATTCAACATTTAAATGTTTTGCAAGTTTCTGCCAACCTTGTGTTTTATCTAAAAGTATAGATAATTTTTCTTTATGCTCATTATTTAACCAATTTATCTCTGTATCTTCATCCTTTAATTCTAATTTTGTAGTAACTGAACACATTTCGTTTGTTGTTTCTTCATATTGTCTATTAAAAAGTTGCAAAATCTATAAAAAAAAATATTTGATTAAAATTATATATTGTATATATTTTAATATTTAATTTGATATTTTCATTGACTAATTTTATTTGAGTTAATTTATTGTAAAATAATATATATGAATATAATAATTACATCTGGTTTATTTTTAGCTAAATCAAATGATGATTGTCCAATAACTTCATCTGCATTTTCATCTTCTGCATCTACTTCAACTTTTACTTTGATATGAGACTCTTTCTTTTTATCTATTGGCTATTAAAGAAATTTCATAAAAAATATTATATTTTTGGATCAATAATTAAAAAAATTAAAATATAAAAAAAGTAAATAAAATTTAAAAAAAAATAACGTACATTATTTGATTCTCGATTATGATTTTGAATATGTGGATCTGCACCATGTTGTATTAACAATGCACATAATTCTTTTGCTTGAACTCCTGCATATACAACTGCAGTATGCAAAGCAGTATTTCCACTAAAGTTTCTTTTATTTACAGATATATTTGTCTGTAAATAATAATATATTTATATTAAAAACAGACAATAACCATAATTGCATAATTGGATAATTTATATTAAAATATTAAATAATATACCTTTTTAAGTAAATATTCAACTATATTCTTATGTCCACTTTCAACAGCTATATGTAATGCTGTTCGACCACAAGACCTATCAGTATTATTTACATTTACACCTGCATGAACAAGTGAACATACTGCATCATATGATCCTGCTTTTGCTGCAAGATGTAATGGCATCCATCCAACATCATTGTATGCTTCAATGTCAATTTTTTTTTCGGATAATAACACATTAACACATGCACCAGCTTCAGGAACTAAAATAATTACATTAAAATAATTAGATGTGTAAGTATTTGAAAAATTTTTTGAGAAAAATTTTTTTCAAATTATGTAGATATTTTTATATTTTTATTTTTTTACATTTCTTTTTTTATTATTATTATTTTATTTTATTTTATTTACTAAAATTTATTTTAATACTGTTTTTAATTGAATTTGTATTTTATTTTTCAATAATTCAATTACTTTTTACAGCTGTATGTAATGGAGAAAATCCATGATCATCTGTTCGATTTGGATCAGCACCAAGCATAAGTAATGCTTCTGTTATTTCTGGTTGATTTTGTAATATAGCATAATGTAATGGAGTCTAAACAAAAAATTATATATCCATTAAAATATATTAAATATGTAATAAAAATATTATTATATATAAATTAATTTAAAATGAATATAAAATATTTAATAAATTCAATAAAAATTAAAGTAAATAAAAAGAAAATAAATAAATTTTTAAAAAATATTTACTTTTCCAGAATTATTTTGTCCATTAACGAGTGCTTTACAATCTTTATTAGAACTTATTAACATTAAAAAGTATTTCACGATATCTCGTTGACCATATCGAAGTGCTGCATGTAATGGAGAATCTCCGTATGTTGTCGATCGATCATTAAATAACTTTTGAATATATTCTTCTACATTTTTTAAATCCATTTTCATATATTGTATAACTTTAGTAAGTACATTTTTAGCAAACATAATATCATCTTGATTCTAATAACAAGAATTATTCATTCAATATTATTTATTTATATATTATTAAAAATATTAAAATAAATAATATTTGCAAAAATATATACAAATCAATTAACATATAAATTAAAAATAAAAAATATTTACTTGCATAGTTGAAGGACCATCAGTAATTAGCATATTTTCTTCATTATCAAAGAATTTTAAATAATCTATAAAAAAAACAAATGCAAATCAAATTTTTCAAAATAAATTTTATCTTTGAGATGTAAGAAATTATATACTTACTGTCGAGATCCATATTTTTAAGAAATTCTTTGCATATTGGTGATGTAATACCTTCGGATAATATTTTTTTTATTTCTTTAGAATTATTTAAAATATCTGATATATTTTCATTTTCATTATAATTAGAAATTGGTAATATAGATGATAATTCTGAGCTTCCAGAATGAGATATTCGTTGTCGTTTCCTACCTATAAACATATTTATATGATTTATTTAAGTTTTAAATTTGCTTTAAATTTATAAAAAATTAAATTTATATATACACAATATATGCATATAATTTACCTGTAATTCTGTCACTTGGTTTATAAGTAAATTTTATTGGTTCAGAACAATCTCCATCAGATGGTCGTTCTAATTGTATAAAAACCTCTTTTGGTGTAGTAATATTAAGATCTCTATATGGTGGAGTTCTATAAAAAAAAATTTAAAATTATATATATTGATATTAATTAACATAATTATATCAATATATTATTGAAAGCTTAATAATAATTATTAAAATTTCTTTTATAAAAATCATGTCTAAATAAATATGAAAAATTTAATAATAATATTATGTTATAATAATCTGTACCTAAGTAATATTGAATTCTATAAGTTGAAATATTTCAATAATTGGAAAAATAAATATCAACTTAGATTGATAATATCTGTTTCTATTCCTAACTATTATTATAGAAATTATAAAAAAAATAATATAATTAATAGTATTACGAAAAATCTTTTGCAACATTATATTTATTTTCTGTAATCATTGAAAAAATATAAAAATGATCTATTTCTAATATATTACTATACCGAAATACAATAGCATATTGATGATGAACATCCAATTCTGAAAAGCGTCCATATTCACACCAAATTTCACAATCGTCCTCATTTAATTCGAAAAATTTTACCTTAATATTTTCTGTAATAAAAAATATTAAATTAATTATTGTATAAATAAAAATATTAAAATAATAACATCTATTCTTTATATTTTGAATATATATATTAATAAATTATTATTAAACTACTTTTTCCAACTTTCTCTACAAGTATAAATACTTCTTCAGCTCCTTCAACACTGCTAGTATGTTTATCAATTCTGCATATTTTAAGTTCTCCTGTTAATGCACTCTCTGTAAAATTACATTATATATTTAAAAAAAATTTTTTTTTTATTTATTTTCTTGAAATTATAAATTATTTTATATTAAATATTTTATATTAATTACTTTTACTACACTTATTTGTCTATAATTTTATTTAAATTAAAATATGCTTTAATCTATTTAAAATAGGAAAAAATAATAAAATGGAAAAATTGTAAATTATCATTTCAATGATTTTAGAAAATTAAAAAAATAGAGTCTTATATAATGTTATCAGATTTTGTTGATTTTTACAAAAAATTTCTTAAGAATTTTTATAAAAACTTCATAAAAATTTTTTATCTCACCAATTATTAAATAGAAACTTTTTCTCTTTATGATTTTAATCATAGAAAATTTTTTATTTTTTGTTTATTCTAATAATATTAATAATTTTATCTTCTCTGATAGAAAAAAATTCTATGAATCAATCAATAATAATAAAAGAAAATTATAATACAAGAAAATTCTATGAATCAATAATATGATTTAAATCTTATTTTTATATATAGATTATAACATACAAATTTGAATAAAATTTCATTAAATATATATATATATATATTTATATATCTATATATATATATAGATTATTTACAATAATGATCAATCAATAAAATCATGTACCAATAAACCTAAAT